TCACGTGACATGCTTCGCTCTGATTGGTGCGGTTCCAATGTGTTTTGGCGGGGTCCAGCACAATGCCTCATACCTGCCGAGCTTGCACCGGAGGGTCCTGCCTGATCGTCTGCTAGCTCGGACTGCGCGTGCGCGCCAGCCAGGTATGAGACATTTCACATAGCTGAAAAACGCGTTGGAACCCGCCGGGCCCACGGTCACGTGATCTCTGCGACTCTCCCCCCTCCAGGCTCCCTAGGCAGTGGTAGATGGGTCGCGCAGTGGTGCAGCGCAGGGACGCGAAGGAAGGAGAAAGAGGTCGACTTTTCACAAATTTGTCATCAATAAGCTGCGGGCTGTTGTGGGCTGGCCACGACGGAGGTGAGGTGGCGGGGTATAGGGCGGCCAGCGTGTGACAGCGCGGGTGACAGCTCGGGTGACAAGGATGAAGGGTCCGGGCAGTCACTCAGATTAAAGGAGCCGCTGAGCGCCGCGGCCACGGAGCCACCAGCGGGGGCCACTCTCTCGAGACGTATGCGCGCGGCTGGTGATTAAAAGTACGAAATAAATGGCTGAGCCCGCTTAATCACCAGCCGTGTCGCCCTGATCACCGCGCTGCCGCCGCCACCGCTGCCGCCTCTCGAGTTAGGCCCCGAGCAGTGCGGCAACGTAGCCGTGCTCCGGCTGCTGCCCGTGGGGCTCTGCCGCTCTGCCCGTGGCGCTGCCGGGCCAGCACCGGCTCGGCTCCTTTTCGCCCGCGGGTCGAGCCCGGCCCCGAGCTGCTCGACCCGGAGCCCTGCTCGGCTCGTAGTACCGGCGGTGGGCGGCTGGGCTGCCGCGCGCGGCCGCTGTTCGTGGCCCCGCGCCGTGGCGCAGCCGGCCGCAGGTACGGGTACCAACCACAGTCTGCACCCCGCCGCGCCCGGCCCGGGCCCGCTCGGCCCGGAGGCAGCCTGGACCGCGGGGAAGGGGAGAGGAGAGAGGGAGGGGGGAGGGGAGAAAGACAAATACCATCACACACCCTTTTGCTCACGCCACCCCGCTCGGATAGACAGGTTGATCTTGAAGAATCGGACGTCCGAAAAGGGCACCATGTTATTCACCCCGCCCACCTTCTGTGGTCGGACTGTGCCGCAATGCACGTGTGCGGGCGGGTTGCCTACTTTAGGGGGTCAGCGCTTCACGGTCAGGGTCAGGCAGCGACGATAGTCGATAAAGCAGTTCGCACGCGTGCGGGCGCCACGGGCACACAGTCTATAACTCCCGGAGTGGGCGGGGTGCATCGGCCATCTGGTGCTACAAGTAGTTGCAGGCGCCTACAGCCCGGATTTGCGAGTACCCCAAACATGTTCCGTGGGTTTCGGGTTCCGGGCCGGGCCGCATGGCCTGGATTGCCTCTGTAGGGCTGCCCCCCTCCCCCCGCCACCGCTGGACCGGATTCGAAAGGACGGGAGACGGCTGACAGAGAGAAGAGAGAGAAAGAGAGAGGAGAGCAGAACGCGCGAGCAAATGCGTGCCAGACGGAGACAGAGAAGCTGACCGGCCAGGCCGCCATTCGATCCCATTCGGTCCCACTCGGTCATTCGGCTGATCTCGCGGGCGTACGCCGAAGCTGCACCTCGCAAAGGGTTCGGGGGGACCTTCTGCTCGGGGAGCGGAACACCCGCGCGAGAACGACCCCGCGTAGCCCGGAGAAGGGCTCCAATACCCGCGCCATGCAGCCTTCTCATTCGGTGTTTTGGTGTAGAGTTATGACATTTTAGCTGTGGCTGTGACTGAAAGGGCAAGTAGAACGAGAGTTATTGCTCTTGCACCGCGGCTCCTCTTCGACAACTAATAAACCCCCGCTGCCCCGCTGACCACCGCGTCGCCCGCGAAGCGTTGCGGCACGTCCAGGACTTAAGTCCAGGACTTGTGCCTGGGACTTTAGTCTACGACTGTAGGGATCATCCAGAAATTAGGTCCGCCATTCGCCGTATGGAACCCGCCAAGTCCAGCAGCCTCTGCAAAGCTCTCATAGCGCCTGGTAGGTATGCAACCTCCTGCCTTCAGGGCATTCGTGTACTGCAGGGTGGCCTACCCCGAGTCTCGCAGGCGCTGAGCTCATCCCGTAATTTGTCGAATGAATCTTGAGAAAAACGGACGACCTTCCTGGACGATCCCTAGTCAGGACTTTAGTTCAGCCCAAACGGGACACTCTGTGCGCCTCGCGGACTCCCCTTTGCGCCGGTCACCGCATCGCGGCCACGTCTGACGGGCGAGGAGGACGAGGACGGCGACGGGGGCGGCCCGGAACCACCGGGACGCGGTGCGAGGCGCACGGCGGTGCACAGCGTATCGCCCGGTCGTGACAGATAAGTTTCCACGGGTCGACCAAATGCTCGCCGCGGAGGATATTGTGTGCCGTTAGGGCATTAGTGACCGCCCGTCCCACCCGGGCAGGTGAAAGGGTTCCTCGTGGACCTATCGCCCCCCTCCCCTCTCCGCAGCACGCCGCGGCCGCCCGCAGCCGCAGCAGCCGTCGACGGGCCGAAGTAGGAGTATTGTTGAAATCCCACCTTGGACGTGCTTAAAGTTCAACGTTAAGAATGGGGGGGGGGGGTTGGAGAGGGTCATTAAAGTCCATTATGCGGCCACCACCACTACTACTGGGGCCACCACCACAAGCTGTCGCCTTGAGCCAAATTTGGGCAATTCCCTCGCCTCCCGTCATATTTCCCTGCAGTGTTCAGTGGTCCACCACGCAACATGTTTCAGATCAAACGCCCTTAAGTGTGTTCAACCGCGACCAGAACTGTTTGTAGAGCTACTCCACGATACTGAACAATAGGCCGTGCGAAAGACTCCGCGCAGCGCGGCGGCCGGGCGGTGCGGTGAGTAGTCTGGTCCATCCGGTATAGTGTAGGTGGGCCTGTCTGCACAGCCACCGCCCCGTGTACCCGTCCCGAGGAATCCGACCTCATTGTGTCAACTTTTTGTCCGCAAAAGTTCGCGTCACTGGATGCAGATGCTGGCTTTTGCTGCCGCTGCTCGGTTACACTTTCCGAGCAGCGCAGTGCCCCCCCCCCTCTCCCTATCTCTGTCTGTCTCTCTCCCACTCTCCCTCAGAGCGCGCGCGGTGATCCGCGGTGCCCTGGCTGGCCTGGCCGTGGAACTTAGTGATGCCCCTTCTCTTTCTTACGTTTGCGCTGGGGCCCCCCTCCCCCGCGCTCTGCCTCCCCCT